AGAAGATTGGCAACCACGTAAAGCCATCTATGTAATCCGAATACGCAGTGTATAGACCATCGTCTACGGTAGCGCTAGAATTGTCGTCAGTGCTGACCGAAAAAACCAATCCAGCATGTGGGTGAACAGATATTTCCAGAAAACACGGCCACGATGCGAGTTAAATCAAAGAAGTCACTCCTATTATCGGGATAAACACACCTAATTAGCCATCAGTTGCTTCAGCGAGGGCGACTGCGCAGTCTGGAGGAAGATCAACCTAATGACACCTAGCTGGTCAGACCAGCACCACACAAATGCATTCGGGAGCTGCCTATTTTGGTAGGTAAGCAGTGGCATATACATACTATACATACTACATACTATACATACAGCAACACCTGTGCAACTCGATGCGCTTTTCGTGCGAGAATCCGACACGTCAGGTTGATAAGAATACAAGATCGAAAAGATTGAAGATGGAAGCAGTGAGTTAGCAGGCTGACTTGACTTAAACGCCTACCAAACACATGCGTTGGATCGTACATGCACAGGGACCAGACTTTAAAAGGTGTCGCGTAACTCTCACTGACGAGAACAACGGTAAACCCCACGAAGAACTGGTCATTTAAAACCCAGCCTGCAGTTCGATTGAGGTTCCAGGAACCGCATTAGCTGGCAAACTATCTGGCCACTACTTTTAGTCCATCAGATTATTACAGGGGAACGTCACTGAATTGCTACGGAGAGGCACACCTCGGAATCGGCTTCTCCCCCCTGGCTTATATAGCAATGGTCTCTCCGAGCCTGTCGACCGATTGGGGATGGGTGTGGGCGTGGTGACCAACATGGGTTAAATTCTCTATTTAATGTGTCGCCGTGTCGTGCATTTAACACGGCCTGACTAACGTACGCCATTAATCAACATGGCTGCGATTTGGGTTTTATGTTTTCGCAATGGAGCCCGTCTGGGAGGAAGGAAGGCAAATGCCACTGGGCAGGGGACTCGCATTGTCACGGCGAAACCTCTCATCGCATATCTGCACCGGCAGCACACGGATTCAGTCAACTAAATAAGTTTGCATACACCGTAAAAAAACAGCCACATATAAAGGCAGACGTAAAATGTCGACGCCTGTCCTCGAGCGTGGAGGAAATGTCCTGACAATACACACCAGCGAAATCATTTCTGAGGTAGCAGGCGTCAGCAAACCGGCTTGGACTTGTGCTCAGACGCACCGGGCTATCACAACACAGAAGGGCCGGGTACAAGGGGTGATTTTTACGCCAGGTAGCGGTTTGATGGCTGGGTATCACATAAGCAAGGAGACTTAAGAACAAAGTATTCGATTATTCTGCAGAAAATGCCCTTCATATTTAAAAATTAATGATAGCATGCCGTGGTAACTGAAGATGATGAACTTTAACTCACCGTGGCCGACGGAAAACTAAACCATAGCGCTGACACGCCAGCCCAACCGTAGGTGTGTAGATCAAAGGCATGCAATACTCAGTGTTCTCAGTTACTACCTGAAAGGTACGTAACCCCAATAAAACGCAAAAAATCAGTTATAGATAAGTGCAGAAAAATGAGACAGAAATTTTTAACGTAATTACTTTACACAACATACCACATTGACAGTACACTAAAAGATCAGCTGGTGCTCAAGCCGACTGCATAAAAGGATATATGAAGTAACACGTGTGTATTAGTACAGACGTCAATCCGTTTTCTCTTCTAGAGTATAGGCTGGCTTGTAGCTCAAGGCATTTGAAGCATTTTGTGCCGGACCGGTTACATAAAGTACAA